GGATCAGTAGATCGCTGGATCTATAGATCGATGGATCTATAGATTGCTGGATCGGTAGATCGCTGGTTCCGTAGATCGATGCATTGGTAGATCGCTGTATCTGTACATCGCTGTATCTGTAGATCGCTGGATCTATAGATCGCTGGATCGGTAGATCGCCCGATCTTTATATCGCTGGATCTATAGATCGGTGGATTGGTAGATCGTTGGATCTGTATATCGCTGGATCTGTAGATCGCTGGATCTATAGATCGCTGGATCGTTAGATCGCTGGATCTTTAGACTGTTGAATCTATATATTGCTGGATCGGTAGATCGCTGGATCTGTAGATCGATGGATCTGTAGATGGCTTGATCTATAGATCGCTGGATGGCTAGATCGCTGGATCTGTAGATCCATCAATCGCTAGATCGATGCATCGGTAGATCGATGGATCTCTAGATCGCTGAATCTTTAGATCGCTCGATCTTTAGATCGCTGGATCGGTAGATCGCTGGATCTGTAGATCGCTGGATCTTTAGATCGCTGGATCTATACATCGCTGGATCTATAGATCGCTGGATCGTTTGATCGCTGGATCTATACATCGCTGGATCTGTTATCGCTGGATCGTTAGATCGGTGGATCTTTAGATTGCTGCATCTATATATCGCTGGATCCGTAGATTGCTGGATGTGTAGATCGCTGGATCGGTAGATCGCTGGATGTGTAGATCACTGGATCGGTAGATCGATGGATCTGGAGATCGCAGGATAAAATGGGGTTGACAGGCCTACACGACTCCCCAGCGCGTGTTTAAAATAGCCTTTCTATAGTTTGGCTCTCACGAGTATGTCTTTGAGCGACCGCCCTCTTTATAAGATACGAGGGGTGGTTTTTTGTAGATTTCGCTCAGTAATGGTTCTTGTTCTATTAAATGCCAGTTTTTCATGAGAATTTGCTTTAGGTTTGGCACTGATGGTTGGTATTGTGTGACAAAAGGCAAGATTCGTTGGTTTGTCTTTGGTTTCTGTTGAAGGGCTAGTTTCCTGTCTTTGAAGTTCACCTCTGAGAGGGTTGTGTTAATAAGATCCTCTGGGTAACCCCTCTGTAGCAGATGCGCTTTGAAATTTGTAATTTTCTCTTCGAATATTAGTTCGGAAGAGTTTGTTCTGAGGAGTCGGAGGGCTTCCCCTTTAATGAAGCCTTTTTTAACTCCTTGCGGGTGACAGGAAGCAAAATGGGTATACTGAAATGTCTCAGTTGGTTTGAAATGAGTACGCACATCAAGGATTGCGTCTCTTTCGAATCTTTCCCCTTTGTAGATGTAGGTGTCCAGGAATGTTGTTTCCTTATCGGAAATTTCAGCCGTAAATTTGATCGTAGGGTGATGATTGTTTGCTTGTTCAATGAAATGTTTTATTCTGGCTCTGTTTGTAGTCCAGAGCGAGAAGATGTCGTCTATGTAACGTTTCCAAACGAGCAGTTTGAAAAGGCTTCGGCTAAGGATTTCCGTCTCTACCTTGTTCATGAATATATTAGAGAAGGCGACTGCCTTTTTCGTGCCCATGGCCGTACCATGTGTTTGAAGGTAGTTTTTTCCATTAAACTGGAAAGAATTTTCTTGGAGAATTAGCCTGAGCGCTCGTTTTAGTAGTTGTGTAGGGATAGGAGGTTCGTTTCTATAGAATATTTCGTATGCTCTGCATACTGTGTCTATTCCCTCCTCTTGCGGTATATTTGTATACAAGCTCGTAACGTCCATTGAAACAAGTATGACGTCCACTGGGACTTTCGTATTTTCTATGAAATTGACGAAGTCGGTAGTATCTTTAAGATAAGACTTTTGTTGTTGTGCTATCGGCTGAAGGAGTTTGTCGACAAATGATGATAATTTCTCTGTTGGGCCATCACACCCTGATACTATCGGTCTGCCGACCGGGGACGGCTTGTGTATCTTAGTTAGGGTGTAAAATTCTGGAATTCGAGGCGGATTTGGTGTTTGACAAAGCCATTTTTTAGTCATGTCGTCTATGTGATCCCCGTTGTGGAGGTCTGTAATAAGTTGTTTAACTTTATGGTTTGTATCAGTGACCATGGGTGATGCAAGAAGCCTGTAGTTGTCTTTGTTGTCTAGTAGAATTTGGCCTTCTTTAATTTTGTCTTGTGTGTTCATGACTACGGTTGTTGTTCCTTTATCGGCCTTTTTAAGGTGTATTTCAGTGTCACGTTTTAGGGCTCTCAGAGCCTCACGTTCGGCCGGAGGCAGATTACTTTTTGGCTTAGTTATTTCTATTTCTGCAAGGTCGTTCTTAACCTCTTCTAGGTAACTTTCAAGGGCTACTGATCGTTGTATTGGTGGTTCCCATGCAGATTTGACATGGTAAGGATGGGGTTTGTTGTTTTACCCTCGAAATATGTACATGAGACGCATTCTTCTTGCAAACTGATCAAAGTCACGCAAGAGTTGTTGCCTGATTTGTGTTTGTTTTGTAACGGGTGTTAGAATGAATTTAAGCCCTTTTGCCAGTAAATTAATCTGGTCATTTGTAAGTTCTTTGTTTGAGAGGTTTTTTATGTGTTTTCTGTTCGCCTCTATAGTGATAGTTAAATGTTTCTGCCGTCTGCCCTTTCTGCGCTCTTTGCGTTTATTGGTTGCTAGCCGTTTGGCTTTTAAAATTTGTTTTTTGGCCCCATGTTTGTGGTGGGAGTCAGAGAACACACATGTGTGTAGATCGCTGAATCGGTAGATCGCTGGATGTGTAGATCGCTGGATCTGTAGATCGATGGATCTGGAGATCGCAGGATCTATAGATCACTGGATCGGTAGATTGCAGGATCTGTAGATCGCTGGATCTATACATCGCTGGATCGGTAGATCGCTGGATATGTAGATCGCTGCATCTATAAAAAGCTGGATCGGTAGATCGCTGGATCTATAGATCGATGGATCTATAGATTGCTAGATCGGTAGATCGCTGATTCTGTAAATCGATGCATCTGTAGATCCCCGGATCTGTACATCGCTCTATCTATAGATCGCTGGATCTTTATATCGCTGGATCTATAGATCGGTGGATTGGTAGATCGCTGGATCTATAGATCGCTGGATGTATAGATCGCTGGATCGTTAGATCGCTCGATCTTAAGACTGCTGAATCTATATATCGCTGGATCGGTAGATCGCTGGATCTGTAGATCGATGGATCTCTAGATCGCTTGATCTATAGATCGCTGGATCGCTAGATCGCTGGATCTGTACCTCGCTGGATCGGTAGATCGATGGATCTATAGATCGCTTGATCTGTAGATCGCTGGATCTATAGATCGTTGGATCGGTAGATCGCTGGATATGTAGATTGCTGCATCTATAGAAAGCTGCATCGGTAAATCGCTGGATCTATAGATCGATGGATCTATAGATTGCTGGATCGGTAGATCACTGGTTCCGTAGATCGATGCATTGGTAGATCCCTGGATCTATACATCGCTCTATCTGTAGATCGCTGGATCTATAGATCGCTGGATCGGTAGACCCCTGGAACTTTATATCGCTGAATCTATAGATCGGTGGATTGGTAGATCACTGCATCTGTAGATCGCTGGATCTATAGATCGCTGGATCGTTAGATCGCTGGATCTTTAGACTGCTGAATCCATATATCGCTGGATCGGTAGATCGCTGGATCTGTAGATCGATGGATCTGTAGATGGCTTGATCTATAGATCGCTGGATCGCTAGATCTTTGGATCTGTAGATCGCTGGATCAGTAGAGCGATTGATCTATAGATCGCTGGGTCTGTAGACCGATGGATCTGTACATCGCTGGATCTATACATCGCTTGATCGGTAGATCGCTGGATCGGTAGATCGATCAATCGCTAGATCGATGGATCGGTATATCGATGGATCTCTAGATCGCTGAATCTTTAGATCGCTGGATCTTTAGATCGCCGGATGGGTAGATCGCTGGATCTGTAGATCGCTGGATCTGTAGATCGCTGGATCTATACATCGCTGGATCTGTAGATCGCTGGGTCTATACATCGCTGGATCTGTAGATCGCTGGATCGTTAAATCGGTAGATCTTTAGATTCCTGGATCTATATATCGCTGGATCGATAGATCGCTGGATCTGTAGATCGCTGGATCGGTAGATCGCTGGATGTGTAGATGGCTGGATCGGTAGATCGATGGATCTGGAGATCGCTGGATCTATAGATCGCTGGATCGGTAGATTGCTGGATCTGTAGATCGCTGGATCTATAGATCGCTGGATCGGTAGATCGCTGGATATGTATATCGCTGCATCTATAAAAAGCTCGATCGGTAGATCGAGCGATCTATAGTTCGATGGATCTATTGATTGCTGGATGCATAGATCGCTGGTTCCGTATATCGATGCATCTGTAGATCCCCGGATCTGTACATCGCTCTATCTGTAGATCGCTGGATCTATAGATCGCTTGATCGGTAGATCGCTGGATCTTTATATCGCTGGATCTATAGATCGGTGGATTGGTAGATCGCTGGATCTGTAGATCGCTGGATCTATAGATTGCTGGATCGTTAGATCGCTGGATCTTTAGACTGCTGAATCTATATATCGCTGGATCGGTAGATCGATCAATCGCTAAATCGAAGGATCGGTAGATCGATGGATCTCTAGATCGCTGAATCGTTAGATCGCTGGATCTTTTAGATCGCTGGATCGGTAGATCGCAGGATCTGTAGATCGCTGGAAGGGTAGATCGCTGGATCTGTAGATCGCTAGATCGTTAGATCGCTGGATCTGTAGATCGATGGATCTGTAGATCGCTGGATCGGTAGATCGATGGATCTATAGATGGTTGGATCGGTAGATCGCTGGATCTGTAGATCGCTAAATCTGTAGATCGCCGGATCTAGAGAACGCTGGATCGGTAGATCGATGGATCTATAGATCGTTGGATCTGTAGATCGATGGATCTGTAGCTCGCTGGATCTTTAGATTGCTGGATCTATATATCCCTGGATCGCTAGATCGGCTGATCTGTAGAGCGCTGGATCTGTAGATCGCTGGATTTGTAGATCGCTGGATCTAGAGATCGCTGGATCTGTAGATCGCTGGATCTGGAGATCGCTGGATCGGTAGATCGCTGGATCTGTAGATCGATGGATCTGTAGAACGCTGGATCGGTAGATCGATCCAGCTATAGATCGCTGGATCGGTAGATTGCTGGATCTATAGATCGTTGGATCGGTAGATCGCTGGATCTGTACATCGCTAAATCTGTATACTGCTGGATCTAAAGATCGCTGGATGGGTACTTCGCTGGATCGGTAGATGGATGGATCTATAGATCTTTGGAACTGTAGATCGATGGATCTGTAGATCACTGGATCGGTAGATCGATTGATATCTAGATCGCAGGATCTGTATATTGCTGGATCTGTAGATCGCTGGATCTATAGATTGATGGATCTGTAGATAGATGCAACTATAGATCGCTGGTTCGGTAGATCACTGGATCTGTAGATCGATGGATCTGTAGATCGCTAAATCTATAGATGGCTGGATCGGTAGATCGCTGGATCTGTAGATAGCTGGATCTATAGATCGCTGGATCGGTAGATCGCTGGATCTGTAGACCGTTGGATCGGTAGATCGATGGATCTATAGATCGCTGGATCGGTAGATCGATGGATCTGTAGATTCCTGGACGGTAGAGCAATGGATGTATAGATCGCTGGATCTTTAGGTCGATGGATCTGTAGATCGCTGGATCGCTAGATCCATGGATCTATAGATTGCTGGATCGGTAGATCAATGAAGCTGTAGAGCTCTGGATTGGTAGATCAATGGATCTGTAGATTGCTTGATCGGTAAATCGCTGGATCTGTAGATCGCTGGATCTATAGATTGGTGGATCGGTAGATCGCTGCATCTGTAGATCGACGGATCTCTAGATCGCTGGATCAGTAGATTGCTGGATCTGTAGACCGCTCGATCGTTACATCGCTGGATCTTTAGATTGATGTATCTATATATCGCTGGATCGGTAAATCGCTGGATCTGTACTTCGCTGGATCTGTAGATCGCTGGATCTATAGATCGCTGGATCGGTAGATCGCTGGATTTGTAGATCGCTGGATTTGTAGATCGCTGGATCTATAGATTGCTGGATCGGTAGATCGATCGATCTGTAGATCGCTGGATTTGTAGATCGCTGGATCTATAGATTGCTGGATCGGTAGATCGCTCGATCTGTAGATCGCTGGATCTGTAGATCGATGGATCGGTACATTGATCAAGCTATAGATCGCTGGATCGGTAGATCGCTGGATCTATAGATCGTTGGATACATAGATCGCTGCATCTGTAGATCGCTAAATCTGTAGATCGCTGGATCTAAAGATCGCTGGACGGGTAGATCGCTGGATATTTAGATAACTGGATCGGTAGATCGATGGATCTAAAGATCGTTGGATCTGTAGATCGATGGATCTGTAGATCACTGGATCGGTAGATCGATGGATCTGTACATTGCTTGAACTATAGATCGCTGGATAGGTAGATCGCAGGATCTGTAGATCGCTGGATCCGTAGATCGCAGGATCTGTAGATCCCTGGATCTGTAGATCGCTGGATCTATAGATTGCTGGATCTGTAGATCGATGGAACTGTAGATCGCCGGTTCGGTAGATCACTGGATCTGTAGATCGATGGATCTGTAGATCGCTGAATCTATAGATGGCTGGATCGGTAGATAGCTGGATCTGTAGATCGCTGCATCTGTAGATCGCTGGATCTATATATCGCTGGATCGGTAGATCGCTGGATCTGTAGACCGTTGGATCGGTAGATCGATGGATCTATAGATCACTGGATCGGTATATCGATGGATCTGTAGATCGCTGGACGGTAGAGCGATGGATGTATAGATCGCTGGATCTTTAGATCGATCGATCTGTATATCGCTCGATCGGTAAATCGATGGATCTATAGATTGCTGGATCGGTAGACCAATGGACCTGTAGACCTCTGGATTGGTAGATCGCTGGATCTATAGATCGCTGGATCTATAGATCGCTGGATCTATAGATCGCTGGATCTGTAGATCGGTGGATCTCTAGATCGCTGGATCTGAAGGTCGCTGGATCTATAGATCGCTGGGTCGGTAGTTCGCTGGATCTGTAGACCGTTGGATCGGTAGATCGAAGGATCTATAGATCGCTGGATCGGTAGATCGATGGAGCTGTAGACCTCTGGATTGGTAGATCACTGGATCTGTAGACCGCTAGATGGGTAGATCGATGGATCTATCGATCGCTGGATCTCTAGATCGATGGATCTGTAAATCGCTGCATCTATAAAAAGCTGGATCGGTAGATCGCTGGATCTATAGATCGATGGATCTATAGATTGCTGGATCGGTAGATCGCTGGTTCCGTAGATCGATGCTTCGCTAGAATCCTGGATCTGTACATCGCTCTATCTGTAGATCGCTGGATCTATAGATTGCTGGATCGGAAGATCGCTGGATCGTTATATCGCTGGATCTATAGATCGGTGGATTGGTAGATCGTTGGATCTTTAGATCGCTGGATCTGTAGAGCGCTGGATCTATAAATCGCTGGATCGTTAGAACGCTGGATCTTTAGACTGCTGAATCTATATATCGCTCGATCGGTAGATCGCTGGATCTGTACATCGATGGGTTTTTAGATCGCTTGATCTATAGATCGCCTGATTGCTAGATCGCTGGATCTGTATATCACTGGATCGGTAGATCGATGGATCTATAGATCGCTGGATCGGTAGATCGATGGATCTGTAGATCGCTGGACGGTAGAGTGATGGATGTATAGATCGCTGGATCTTTAGATCGATGGATCTGTAGATCGCTGGATCGGTAGATCGATGGATCTATAGATTGCTCGATCGGTAGATCAATGGAGCTGTAGACCCCTGGATTGGTAGATCGCTGGATCTGTACACCGCTAGATGGGTAGATCGATGGATCTATCGATCGCTGGATCTCTAGATCGATGGATCTGTAGATCGCTTGATTGGTAGATCGCTGGATCTGTAGATCGCTGGATCGTTAGATCGCTGGATCTTTAGATTGCTGGATCTGTATATCGCTGGATCGGTAGATCGCTGGATCTGTAAATCGCTGGATCTGTAGATCGCTGGATCTATAGATCGCTGGTTCAGTAGATCGCTGCATCTGTAGATCGACGGATCTGTAGATCGCTCGATTGGAAGATCGCTGGATCTTTAGATTGCTGGATCTATATATCGCTGGATCGGTAGATCATCCTTAGTCATCTTAGTCATCCCTAGTCATCGCTAGTCATCCTAGTCATCCCAGTCATCTCAGTCGTCCCTAGTCATCCCAGTCATCCCTAGTCATCCCTAGTCATTCCAGGAATCCCAAGTCGTCCCTAGCCACCCGACTCATCCTAGTCACCCCTAGTCATCCCTAGCCATCACAGTCATCCCTAGTCATCCCAGGCATCCCTAGTCATCCCAGTCATCTTAGTCATCCCTAGTCATCCCTAGTTATCCCAGTCATCCCTAGTCATCCCAGTCATCCCTACTCATCCTCAGTCATCCCAGTCATCCCTAGTCATCCCTTGTCATCCCAGTCATCCCTAGTCACCCCTAGTCATCCCTAGTCATCTTAGTCATCCCTAGTCATCGCTAGGCAACCAGTCATCCCAGTCATCCCAGTCGTCCCTAGTCATCCTAGTCATCCTTAGTCATTCTAGTCATCCCAGTCATCCCTTGTCATCCCAGTCATCCCCTGTCATCCCTAGTCATCCCACTCATCCCTAGTCATCCCTAGTCATTCCTAGTCATCTCTTGTCATCTTAGTCATCCTTAGTCATCCCTAGTCATACTAGTCATCCGTAGTCATCCCAGTCATCCCTAGTCATCCCAGTCATCCCTAGTCATCCCAGTCATCCCTAGTCACCCACAGTCATCCCTAGTCATCCCTAGTCATCCCAGGCATCCCAAGTCATCCCTAGTCATCCTTACTCATCCCAGTCATCCCTAGTCATCCCTACTCATCCCAGTCATCCCTAGTCATCCCAGTCATCCCTACTCATCCTTCGTCATCCCAGTCATCCCTAGTCATCCCTTGTGATCCTAGTCATCCTTAGTCACCCCTAGTCACCCCTAGTCATCCCTAGTCATCTTCGTCATCCCCGGTCATCGCTAGTCATCCTAGTCATCCCAGTCATCCCAGTCATCCCAAGTCATCCCTTGTCATCCCTACTCATCCCAGTCATCCCTAGTCATCCCTAGTCATCACAGTCATGCCTAGTCATCCGAGTAATCCCTAGTCATTACTAGTCATCCCAGTCATGCCTAGTCATCCCTAGTCATCCCTGTCATCCCTAGTCACCCCCAGTCATCCCTAGTCATCCCTTGTCATCCCAGTCATCCCCAGTCATCCCTAAGCATCCCACTCATCCCTAGTCATCCCTAGTCATTCCTAGTCATCTCTAGTCATCTTAGTCATCCTTAGTCATCCCTAGTCATCCTAGTCATCCCTAGTCATCCCAGTCATCCCTAGTCATCCCAGTCATCCCTAGTCATCCCAGTCATCCCTAGTCACCCCCAGTCATCCCTAGTCATCCCTAGTCATCCCAGTCATCCTAAGTCATCCTTAGTCATCCTAGTCATCCCTACTCATCCCTGGTCATCCCAGTCATCCCTAGTCATCCCAGTAATCCCTAGTCATCCCTAGTCATCCAAGTCATTCGTTGTCATCCCTAGTCATCCTAGTCATCCCAAGTCATCCCTAGTCATCCCAGAGTTCCTTAGTCATCCCTAGTCATCCCAGTCAGCCCCTGTCATCCCTAGTCATCCCAGTCATCCCAAGTCATCCCTAGTCATCCCTACTCATCCCAGTCATCCCTAGTCATCCCTAGTCATCCCTGTCATCCCTAGTCACCCCCAGTCATCCCTAGTCATCCCTTGTCATTCCAGCCATCGCCACTCATCCCTAGTCATCCCACTCATCCCTAGTCATCCCTGTCATCCCTAGTCATTCCTAGTCATCTCTACTCATCTTAGTCATCCTTAGTCATCCCTAGTCATCCTAGTCATCCCTAGTCATCCCAGTCGTCCCTGGTCATCCCAGTCATCCCTAGTTACCCCCAGTCATCCCTAGTCATCCCTAGTCATCCCAGTCATTGTAAGTCATCCTTAGTCATCCTAGTCATCCCTACTCATCCCTGGTCATCCCAGTCATCCCTAGTCATCCCAGTAATCCCTAGTCATACCTCTTCATCCCAGTCATTCGCTGTCATCCCTAGTCATCCTAGTCATCCCAAGTCATGCCTAGTCATCCCAGTGTTCCCTAGTCATCCCTAGTGATCCCAGTCAGACCATCCCTAGTCATCCCAGTCATCCCAAGTCATCCCTAGTCATCCCTACTCATCCCAGTCATCCCTAGTCATCCCTAGTCATCCCACTCATTCCTAGTCATGCCAGTCATCCCTTGTCATCCCTAGTCATCCTAGTCATCTTTAGTCATCCGTGGTTGTCCCTACTCATCCCTAGTCAGCCCAGTCATCCCTACTCATCCCAGTTATCTCTAGGCATCCCTAGTCTTCCTTAGTCATCCCAGTCAACCCTAGTCATCCCTAGTCATGCCAGTCATCCCTACTCATGCTCAGTCATCCCAGTCATCCTTAGTCATCCCTTCTCATCCCAGTCATCCCTAGTCACCCCTAGTCATCCCTAGTCATCCCTAGTCATCTTAGTCATCCCTAGTCATCGCTAGTCATCGTAGTCATCCCAGTCATCCCACTCATCCCTAGGCATCCCTAGTCATCCCCGTCATCCCTTGTCATCCCTAGTCATCCCAGTCATCCCAAGTCATCCCTAGTCACCCTACTCATCGCAGTCATCCCTAGTCATCCCTAGTCATCACAGTCATCCCTAGTCATCGCAGTCATCCCTAGTCATCCCAGTCATCCCTACTCATCCTCAGTCATCCCAGTCATCCCTAGTCATCCCTTGTCATCTTAGTCATCCCTAGTCATCGCTAGGCATCCAGTCATCCAAGTCATCTCAGTCGTCCCTAGTCATCCCAGTCATCCTTAGTAATTCTAGTCATCCCAGTCATCCCAAGTCATCCCTAGTCATCCCTACTCATCAGAGTCATCCCTAGTCATCGAGAGTCATCACAGTCATCCCTAGTCATCCCAGTCATCCCTAGTCATCTCTAGTCATTACCGTCATCCCTAGTCATCACGGTCATCCTTAGTCATTCCTAGTCATCTCAGTCATCCCTAGTCATCCCTAGCCACCCCCAGTCATCCCTAGTCATCCCTAGTCATCCCAATCATTCCTAGTCATCACAGTGATCATTAGTAATCCCTAGTCTTTCCTAGTCATCCTAGTCATCCCCAGTCATCCCTAGTCATCCCAGTCATCCCTAGTCACCCCCAGTCATCCCTAGTCATCCCTAGTCATCCCAATCATTCCTAGTCATCTGAGTCATACCTAGTCAACCCAATAATTCCTAGTCATCTGAGTTATCCGTAGTAATCCCTAGTCATCCCTAGTCATCCCAGTCATCCCAGTCATCCCTAGTCATCCCTAGTCATCCCTAGTCATCCCAGTCATCCCTAGTCATCCCAGTCATCCTAAGCCATCCTTAGTCATGCTACTCATCCCTAGTCATCCCTTGGCATCCCAGTCATCCCTAGTCATCCCAGTAATCCCTAGTCATCCCTAGTCATCCAAGTCATCCCAAGTCATCCCTAGTCATTCCAATGTTCCCTAGTCATCCCTACTCATCCCAGTCAGCCCCTGTCATCCCTTGTCATCCCAGTCATCCCAAGTCATC